TCCGCCAGTAGCAAATTCTCCCGTGGTTCATAAAAAAGTTGTTGCTATTCATGAAGATTATGTCGCATCGAATATCAACTATCGATACGTCGAATGTCAATACGCATATCAAATAGTGCCCCACTTTTTGTTCAGTCGTACTCTGTGAACAATTTACAAACAGAGAAGCAAATGGTAACAGTAACTAAAATCACATTTCCGCTTGTCCATCCATTTGAGCTCTACATTGCTGGCTACCACGCGGAATACTTGGTGGAAAACTCATGAGAAACGGTGAATGTGTAAAGAAATTGCTTTGTTTCCAATACGATTGGAATCTAACTATCGTGGTTTTTCTGCTGAGATTATGGAGGTGTTTGATTGACCAGGTTACGTTTACCTTGACCTTTCCAGGGTCTAAAGAAGGCGAAATCCGTCAAAACGTCAATTCTGGTGAATAAATAAGTAGTTTATTAAAGACCTCGTATATGCTTATCAAGAAAGAAGTAAATTCTCTAAGAATTAGTCAACATCGTAGTACAATACAGACCAATCACCAAAAATTACTGTTTCGTAGAGATAGCGCCAGTTTGCTGGCAAACAAGGCGCTATCGAAGGCCAGCAACGACTGTCCGGTTTGTTATTCTGACCACTGATTATTCAATTTGGACCACAAATAGTGAGCAAATTTGGCGCATCCGCTTCTACATTCACCAGTTTTTCTTCCGTTGCTTTTCTAATGTTATACAAACAACTATGCTGGCAAAGGTTGATATTAGAAAATATTTTGTCAAATAACACAACGGAGGTATTTATAGAATTCTGAAAAATGGCCTAAATCCCATCCTTATTTTCTGAGAATGTGTTCGAAATGAACGACGAATCGTTGAGACCACTCCGTGTTGTTCACCCTAATGGAATAGCGATGAGATGAAGGCGGGACAATTGTTTTGGTAGAAGAAAGGAGTAAAAAGTTGAAAATGCAGTTAAGGCAAGAAATGGTTATCAGCAGCAGCACTATTAAACACATTGCCGACCTCTGTCGACTTCACGGAAGCAGAAAAAAAAGCCTTGAATCGCCCATGATTTAAAAATCGCTTTCGTTAAAATTTTCGACCAACTAAATAGCTTATGGGGATGAGAACACCAAAGGGTTTTGATGAGTCTTTGCACTAATCATCGAGACTTGAAATATTGCTACTATATGCTGCATTTCGCTATGTCTCATCTGCCGGACACACTACTGTCAGTACTTACGAGGTTTTTACTACATATGTGGAGCGTATTTCTGTATTTCTTATTACCTCATCATTTCATACGATAATCCTGACGCATCATAGCAACTGGGAATGAAAAAACAGCTAGTTGTTAGTCAAACGCTGATTTTCGTATTCTGTAGATGATTTGAATAGATTCCTTCCTTCTTAGCACTTCATGGCAACAAAATGTAACAAGTTGTTTACAGTTGTACAAGACAGGTTATTAAGGGATAAGTTGTATCAAGTAAAAAACTGTTTTCCCAATAAGTGGGAATCACCGTGTTCAGACGAAATTTTTGCAGACGGCTTATTGATCTTAAAGATTGCTAGTGATTCATTCTGAAATAAGCCTAAACCCATTTTATGCTTTTGCCACCACAAAAGTCGTCTTGTTAGAATTTATTCCTTGAATCGAAACTGAAAGCAATCCCATGATCAACTTTCTATAAACCTCGGCATTGATCAAATAATCTGAGAGCACTGATTTATCCCGCGGACGATTTCGTCAAAAGTAACTTTTTTCATCACCACCACCATCGTCATCATTTCCTTCATCAGTTAGTGAGCATAACGATAGAGAACAAAGCGATGACGTCGAAATTGCTCCACCAGTTGACGACATGTGTTGTTAAGTAAACAAAACTGACCCATTCTTGCCATCCACTGTGAGTTACGGAGACGCTGTCCTAATTGGACGATACAATTCATAGCCACATTGTTAGAGCCTTTTAAAGAAGTGCAAAAAATCAAATCAGCAATGGAAGATGTGTTTGTTTTTCTTTTGAGAGTGCAGCAGTGCGTCACTATTGTTTCCAATCTTATCAAATTTCCCGACGGTCAGATTAAGGACGCATTTCTAAGGTCGACGGTTGCCTATTTCAAAGGTGAAACGATGGGGATGGCAAGGTCGTTCGAAGATTCTCATCAAATAAAGTGAATCATCAATGGAAGTTCGCCCTGTCACCCACTAAATGCCCAGTTTGCTTATAGCTAGTTACTTTTATACTATGGAGGTTGTGAAATTGGATCATTCTAGAATATGATACAACTCTCTGTGGTGATATGGTTTGAAAGATCGCATTGTAGGGAACATGTTTGTAAAGTTTCGTTCGACTTGCATACTTTTGCATACATACTATATGTTCCCAGTGTTCAGGGTCCACTTAAAGAACGAGAATCGGAACAGCTTAGTTGGTTTCGTGGTGTAACTCCACAGCTTATATATAAGATGAATACGAAACAAAAACTAGCTGCCTTAAGATGTGGTAAAGTGATTCACTGTTTATAGCCCTTCATATTCACTTATACCTTCTGCACAGACGTATTCATAATCGCTCATATGTCCACACGCATGGATTACCTCCGAACACTATCCATACAGCACACACGAAAAGTACTTTCATATCATCCAGCACCTGAAGCAATTGAAATGGTAGTTCCAGAGTTAAGACAGAACTGCTTTATCTTAATGTTCTTTGGTGCTAGGGAAATCGAAATATCACAAGTTCTACGCTGTACGAGAGGCGAATGAAGCGCAGTGAGTAGAGATGTCATAGAATAAACGCAAAGTCGCTGCTTTGACTCACCCCAGCCAGCCATACCACGCAGTATTCTGGGGACATCAAAAAAGCTCTCTTCGACTAACAAGGGCCAGCAACTGTTTGTGAAAGAACATGGGAGCTGACTATTCGAGCTATTTCAGGACAGGAGGGAAAATGAATTCGACTACCATTCAATGAAATTCACGAAGACGATATGTACAAGTGGAAGCCAAGCCCGTATCCGTTAGTCTTCATTGATCAAAATTGCGAGACAATGAGCCGAAATAAAGTGTTTGGATCTTCAAGACATGTGAACTCAGGTTATTTAGATAAATACGAATAAATAATGCAAAGAATGTTATACCTTTTTATTTTCTGCCTACTATAATTTCGCGGCAGGTTACTAAGCGAAATACAACCACAACGTTGCTGAGATATTTGCAAAACTCTGGACCGCAGGTGTCTATGGTGGGGAACGAACGCGCTATT